GCCGCTCGTCTCATCAAGCCCAAGGCCATCCTGTACACCACTGCCCTGTTGTCGTGGATGCAGCCGTTCCAGAGCGGTTGGTCCACCTCGCAGATGAACCTGTCGCAGTACAACGACACAGACGAGTGCAATGCGCGTCCCGTGGCTGAGGACACGTGCCTCATGTTCCCCGGTCACTCGAAACTGGAGTGGACGTTCGCCGTGAACGCATGGATCTTCGGTGCCATGGTTGGCTCGCTGTGCTGCGGCCACTTCAGCGACAAGTACGGCCGTAAGAAGGCTCTCATGGGCAACTGTATCTTCATGATCGTTGGTGGTGTGGTGCAGGCATCTGTGTCGAACATTTGGGTGTTCGCTGTTGGCCGTCTGATCGCCGGTATTGCTTCGGGTACGGCCACGGCCACCATCGGCGCCTACATCAACGAGCTGTCGCCGCCGCACATGCGTAACACGCTTGGTCTGGGCCTTCAGATCTTCACGACTATCGGTATTTTGGTGCCGGCGATCTGCTTTTTCTTCGCCAACACGAGCTCTGGCTGGCGTTACCTGGCTGCGTTCCCCGTGGTGCTGGCCGTCATCTACCTGCTGCTGGCGCCGACCATGTGCATTGAAAGCCCTGCATGGCTTCTGACCCAGGGCCGCACGGAGGAGGCCAAGGAAGTGATCGCTCGTCTGTATGGCGAGGAGCACGTGCAGACGGCTCTGTCGTGGCTGCAGGTGAGCAAGAAGCCGGAGAACGCTGAGGAGGGCCTCGCTGCTCCCAAGCAGGAGTCCATGTTCAACCCTCGCTACCGCATGCAGCTTCTGGGTGGTATTCTGCTGTCGTGCGCTCAGCAGCTTTCGGGTATCAACGCTGTGTTCTACTACTCCGGCAGCATCTTCTCGGACGCCGGTATCTCGGACTCGCGTGTGGGTACGCTGATCATCGACTTCATCAATATCTTCCCCGCCTTCTTCACCGGTGTGCTGGCCAACCGCTTCGGTGCTCGCAACATGATCCTCTGGGGTCTGTCGGGTATGGTGGTCATGTCCATCGGTATGACGGTGGCTTTCGTGGTGGACGTGTCTGCTCTGTCGATTGTGTTCACTGCTCTGTACGTGATCGTGTTCGGTGTGACGCTGGGTCCTCTGGTGTGGGTGATGACTGCCGACATTTTCCCGGACTCGATCCGTGCCAGCGCTTCGTCGCTTTGCATTGGTATCAACTGGCTGTGCAACCTCATCGTGGGTGT